AGGGTGATCAAGGTCAGGTCCCTATGTTATGATTCAAGTCTATGTCCTGCTAATGGCAGGAACTTCTCCATTCATAAATAGCAAAGTCCCTACATTCTTCTCCGCTCAGGATCTGTCTGTAAACATATTTCCAAATCTCCCCCTTTGTACAACGGCAATGTCTCCCACTTCCAAAGAAAACTGTGGCAACTCCCTTAGGTGTTGTTTCTATGAGTTACCATTTGAAACACTAAATTATCATTTTATGCACTATAATAATGATGACTGTAGTTCAAAAAATAAAACATAGAAAACAATGCTGAGTCTGATGACAAAAACCAATGACAAGGCACTAAAATAATTCTGGCAATCTCTATGAGTGTTAATTTATTTCTACCAGTAAAATAATAAGTATGCAATATCAATATATTAAATTGTAAGATCCAGTCATCCTGAACATCCTGGATTATTCTCCTTTAAACAATCCTGCAAGGACTTTCAAGCCAATGTGGTTCCATTGTCTTTAAAAATCCTCTACAATAGCAACAATAAAACCAACCACTCAAGCAAAAAACAAGTAAAAAAGAAAGCTAGCTTTCACAGCCTTGTGAAAAATAATCATTGGAACTACCACATATTGTAATTTAAAATATTTATAAGGTACATAGTTGTGAGAACTGTTGCTGGTTGGTGTATGTGAGATTAAACAAGCACACTCATCCTTCTCTGGTTCACACTCTAATGCTGAGCAACAACAGGTAAAGATGCGAGTTCTACAGCTCCTTAGAAGAAATTACTTTGTCTTAGAGAGAAGAAGGAATGGGAAAGTAAGTAATAAAAGGATGACTTCTATTTATTATGGGGAGGGAGGAGTATTTGATCTACACTTCTAGGTCACAATTCATCCTTGAGGGAAGGGAAGAAACTCAAGGCAGAAGCAGAGACAGAAACTATAAAGGAAGGCTGCATTAGAAGCCTTTGTACACTTTGAATTAAATTGAATTCAATATATCCTATGTATGCTTTCTCAAGAGAATTTTTTAAAAATATATATTATCAGATAAAATGGTCGGTTTTAGGGCTGTTTCCCTTGAATTGAAACAGTCCATCCTGGAGAAAGTCTCTCTATGTCTCAGGGGGTGAGCCAAACTCAGAAAGTTACAGAATGTCCTGAAATTTGAAAGATTCACCACGCCTTTCCTCAAGCTAATACAACATTAGCAATTGGTGGGGGAGAGGAGAGTATCTAACCCCCAGAGCTGCCTGTTAAAACAGGATGGAGAGACATATAGTTAATTAACCAGGATTTGGACACAGACATCAAGGAATGAAAGTGACAAGAAAGAATATGAAGGAGAACCCAAGGGAACCCTGGGACCACTGAGCCTTAAAGATCTGCAATGAAAGAAAGCCAGACAATGAACCTTATCCAGGGAGAGGACCAGAAGGCCCAGATATCCTGCATTTAAGACAAACCAGTTTGTTAAGGACTGGGGGATGTGCCAGTGCTGCTGACAGAGCAGATGTTTTGAGTACTAAGACATCCTATATTCTTTTAAACTAACTAGATATCTGTATTGAACTTAACAAGAGTAGATGTTAACAATGCAACTGATGCAGAACTGAAAGGAAATAACTGGTTAGTGCAGCTATAAGTATTTTCCAGCAAAAAAACCAGTTACCTCTGCATAATTCACCCCCAAGAAAATAACGTGTGGAAGCAAAACATTCTGCAAATAAAACACAGAAAAAAAATTCCAATTAAGCTTCTCCTAGTTGGGGAAAGGGTATGAAATCATCTTTTAAACTTGGTTTTATACAGCAGTGTGTTGTTCTCAATCTGCACCCTTTTCCTATTGCAAAAGAAAAGCAACACTTAACATTTATTTAAAGACAGGGATTTTTGATCTGAGATTATGGCAAAAAAAAAAGATTAGCTCAATGAAACTCAAACCTCTGCTTTGTAAAACAGTAAAACCTACTTAAAATTTTAAATCACGAACTTTATAATAGTCTGTTCTCATAAAATAGGAAGAATTTTGTCAGGATTGTTAATATAAACTTTTCCTGAAACCTGAGTCATCTGCTAGTCACAGACATTCCTGCTTCCCTCCATCCTATCCACTGGAGACTGCGATGCTGAGATGTGGGACGTCCATTGTTGGGCTTTGATGGAGATACCCCTAAAACAGCAGAGCTAGAGCACAAACATTGAACTGGACAACAATATGGAAAATAAAATAAAATAAAAGAAGATAAAGAAAAAAGAAATAAAGAAATAAAAGAAGGAAAGAAGAAAGGAACAAAAGAATGTACAAACAAACAAATGAACGAAGAGTTTAAAAATTTTCACGAACTTAAAATACTGCTGGCTGATGTGCAACTTAGTTTGAACAATAGGACTGAATTCCTATCATGCTGAAAACACATGAAATTTTAAGCACCCTTAGAGCAACGTGGGTAGGACCTGTTCTGAGAAGTTTATAGCCTGTAGCAGGCAGGAAGAAGACATATATAGAAAATTACATTAGATTCACTTTAGATCTTCCATTCACAAACTAGTTGTCTGTCATTTAGACTTTGTGTTATACACTAGATATTGTTGTGGATCAGACAGAAATAGTAAGTCAATAAATATTTATGTTACCTACTACATGTTATAGGCAAGTGATCAATAAAACATGGCTCTGACTTTGAGAAATTTATACTTTAAGAGAACAGAGTTGTTAGCATGTAATTTAAGTACAGGAGAAAGAGAAAGGGAAACAAAACAAACCAACAATGAGGCAATTTTGAGGCACACAGGAAATGAGTTGGCACCTGGGAAATTTCTTTCAAGATTCACACAAGAAAACAAAAAGCCAAATAAGCCAAGACAAATGTTTTTTTGTGGGGACATTGTATAAAAGAAAGTATCGAGGTTGTCTTTGTTAGAAAAGGTAGGAAACAGGAAAGTCCAAAGAATTTTGGAATGCCTTATGCTCCTGTGATCATGGGGCAGTTGAAAATATAACGTCAAAGTAAGGCTGTTCAAAACTTTCCCGGCTAGAAAAATAAAGGAGGGAAAGTAGCCACACACAGAGATAGGCAGGCATGCAGACACTGCTGAAACAATTGCACAATTAACTAATGATAATTGCAAAAACAGACACAGATTCAAACAACGCAAAATCCCGCAGGAGAGACACAGAATAACATACCGAAGCCAGAACATTTCCTCATATAATTAAACAATCTTCTCAGGTTTCTAAGAACTTTAGTCATTTCTCATTTTCACAATGATTCCAGCCATGGGAGTCATCCAAACAATCATGGGATTTCTCAAATGCCAAATGCAAAACACTGGACAGCTCCAGCATCCCTGTAGTTCTTTAAAAATTCAAGAATACTTCAGCCTGCAAACCTATTGTCCAGTAGCACCTTCTTACATACTGATACTAAACCAGCTCAGCACATATGCTCTCAAAGATCCTCTCATCGAAATCACAACACATATTATAATCTTGAGTGGCTCAAGTGTAACACCACAAACATTTTAAAGGAACACAAAAACTCGATGAACAGTACTTTTAAGCATGAACCACATCTTCTGGATATGCTTTAAACCTCACTGGTGAGTCACAGCATCAAAAGTTAGAGAACAAGAATCTGAATAGCAAATATACTGTTCTCTTCTCATCCTATCCCAGGCTGGCTTGAATGAATCCTTGAGAGGTAAGACAAATCAGCAGAATGTCAAAAACTGTCTAAAAATAAGTCTTTGATAAATAAATTGCACATGCATATCTAAGTTTCTTTTGAGCTTGCTGTGTATGGAGAAATTGTATTTAAAAAGATGTGGGTAATAAAAAGTTGAAATAAATAACATGGAAATAATAAAAATAACAGTAATGTAAAGGCTCTGGAGATGAGGAGATGACCCAGTCAGGAACATATGTGCCAGACAAGAATGAGGAGGTGAGTTCTCACTTTAACATCTAAATAAAACCCAGGGGCTGGGCAGTGGTGGCTCACACCTTTAAACTCAGCACTTGGGAGGCAGAGACAGGCAGATTTCTCTGAATTTGAGGCCAGCCTGAGCTACAAGAGCTAGTTTCAGAACAGGCTCCAAAGCAACAGAGAAACCCTGTCTTGAAAAAAACAAAAGTAAATAAATAAATACATCAAAAAACAAAACCCAGGCATCATGATGGCACAGGCAGGTCATCACGGAACTTGGGAGCAGGGCTCCATGGTGAGTAGGCAGATCCCTACGTCTTACTTATCCTCAAGCAGAGCTATGTTTGTGCTGTAAGCATTGACAGTTTCTCATGTTACTTACTGATGCAGGTAACCTGGGAGAATAAACTTTTAAAAACTTGTTTATTTGGGTGCTTTGTGTAATTTCTGTGTGGCATCCAAAGAAAAATTTCAATTATGAAATTGAACCAAACTGAATTCAGCTCTTATGATAGGGTAGCAAAGACTATACTCACTGAACCATTATCTCCTCAGCATCAGAGAATCTTAACTGATACAGGTATAGAACAGAATTCTTGTAGAAATTCTCTAATAATGCACATGGCTGATGGATCTTTTATTTACTGTTTTGTTTTCTTGTCTTGACAGATCCTAACTGCAATCTATATTTCAGTTTACTTTAAGCTTTTTTTTCTCATAGGAAGCTTTTTTAATTTCCCTACTTTGAGCAAGAAACTTAGGAGATTGCCCACACTAGTCAAGTGTTCTATCACTGAACTGCATTCTAATTATTTTCTTTTCCTCTTTTTTTAATTTTTCTTACATTTCTTGGGGTGTTTTTTTTTTGCTTTAAAGTTCCCATTTCATTTCTGATTTTTAACAATTTGTTCTCTGCTTCTTCCCTTCATATTTTGCTTTTCAAATTAATCTTGCCTTTCCTATGTAGTGCAGACAAATCTGGTCATGATCTCTTGCTTCTCTCCTAAGACACTAGAGTTACAGACGGAAACCACAAGCATGACAAATTCACCTTTTATTAATGCACACCTCGAGCAATCAGTATGAAGAGCACAGTGCCGAATGAAACTCTAGAAGGCCAGCTGGGACGTGGAAATCATGAATACCCACTGTTGCAAGGAATTAAGCAAAGCAGCATCTCAGATAACTCAGTGGTAAGGCCATTTAACCCACAGGATGTCAGTGGTACAGCACTGAAAGGAAAGGTATCCTGGCAGTCAGGAGCCAAGGAAAACTATAAAGTCACACTGCACAACAAAGACATTATTTGGGAAAACCCCATGAGGGCTGTTGCCTCCGCTTGGAGAACAGGTAGCAGAGTAACTGTAGGGGTTGGTATCCGCACAAGACACCCCAAGAGCAAGCTTTTAACACCAAGGAGATTTGTTTACCTCAGAGGGACAACAGGAGGAGAACAAGAGAAAAAGTCAGCGATAGAGGATGAGGAAGAAGAGGAAAGAACAAGGGAGAGAGGAAAGTGATGTTTGCCATTGAGAGATGAAGTATTACCTCTGTATAGAGAGGAGACAGACAGAGTCATAGGCAAATGACAGTTTCTTAAGGGAAATGGGGAAACTCCATGTTAGGGTGAGTTGCTTAATTTTGATTGGGCATGTTAACTGCAGTATACAAAAGGGGGCCTTTGACTGCTGTATTTCAAAATTTTGATAAGTAGACTTTGGTAGTCAGCTTCAGGAGGAAGAAGTGGCCACAGAAGGCAATAGACCTTGATGGCTAGCCTTAGAAATTCACTCTAACAGTTTTTAGCAAGGCAGAGGGAAGGGGAAAATGGCAAAATCTGACTGAGTCACATTTGCTATGTTCTAGCCTGCTAGAAGCCCTTTCAGTAAAGCAGTGGGTGGCAGGCTTATCTAGACTTTGATGGAGCTCGAGTTTTTCAGTGTAGAGATTTCCAGGGTATGGTTTGGTGGGATTTCTAGTCCTGAGCTTGGGAACAATCCAGGGGTTGGGGGATTTTTAGGATCAGGCATTGGTAGGATTTCAAGTCCCAGAATTGAGCTTGGGCGTTTGGCCATACACAAGAGAAACAAAAACTTCAAGATTTGCTGGCAGTAGGCAAGACATGAAAAAGAATTCTGACATACTGGCTGTGTGTGCAATATTGCAGGGTTCAAGGGCACTTTCTGCTCTTGCAGAGGTCTGGGATTTTATTCCCAGCACCTGTCTATAACTCAGTTTAGTGGCATCTGATGACCTCTGCTGACATCCGTAGGTACCAGACCTGCTCTTGGGGCATATAAATATATTAGGCAAACTCATTTACCTAAAACAACAATAAACAGATCATAAAATTAAAAAAAAATGCCAACTGAATTTACAAACAGGAAGAAAAGACAAGAAACCTTCCTTGCTGAGGCAGCTAGAAAGACGGAAAGCTTAAGGCTAAAGAAGAGGCTAAAAAAGGGTAGACATATGCACAAGCATGAAATATTTAAGGATAATCAGAGTCCAAGGAGCCATAGATTTCACATACACAGGGAATATGAGGGGACTCAGGTCAGTTCGAACTTGGCAAGCATGGTTCTGGCAGGTCTTTCCCTTCTCCCCAAGTCCTTCTGCCTTATTAAAAACAATTAGATTCCCTTCTCTAAAGCTAGCCACCAAGGTCTTTTCCTTTATTTGGTTGCTTCTTCCATCTGAGGCTGACTACCAAGGTCCAGCTATCAAAGTATTAAAGTCCAGCAATTAAATTGATTCCCCTTTAGGTCACCTAATTAACGCACACAATTAAGACATACTCTGCCATTCTAGCCCATTCTAACACAGCCCTGCCCAGGTTCTCTTCATAAAAATCACACCTTTAAGGTCATTTGCAACTGTCTTTCTGCCTGAGTCAAAAAGCAGTTATTTTAACTTTTCTTCTCTCCTTTAATAAAGGATATCTCTGTGAAAATAGTCATTTCGGTGTGGTTTGTGCCTAAACTGGCATCTAGGAAGGAACCTACACTGTGGAGGGGTCTCCTTTAATGCAGGTGTACTTGACATCAAGAAGTAATTCCAAAGAGATGACTGTGGGCATGCAACAATAGAATCAGATTGTTGTTTTTGCTTGAAGGTAAAAATGAAAACACTACCAGTTCTAATGATAATGCCAAAAGTAAACTTAAAAATCTCTTTCTAGGAGAATCAAATTTATGTCAAATGTAAATCTTATTACTGCATTCAGTTAATCTTCACCTAATCGAACTTCATTGATGCCAAGTAGAGAAAGTCAACTCAGTATAACCAGATGCTTCTCTTAACTTTATGTTTTCACCAAATACCTAAAAGCGCTTCCTTTAACAGCACAACGTGGAGCACTTGTTAGTCAGCATTGAGCAGTAGCTTTCTCTGAGGTTAAGACCTTATATCTTGGAGGGAAACTTCTGAAGACAGAGTGTTTTCAGGGCGGTGAAACAGTATGATATTCTAAAGGGGTATGACATACCACAGGCAAACTCCTTAAGACAAGAAGTAAAACAAATCAAAATCACTCAGGAAGTCCCTGAAAATGATCAGTTTCTCTAGGCTACTACCATCCCCAAAGTAAAGAGTACAGACTGCTGAGAGACACTCTCAGATAAGCCAAGCTGCAAATAAGATTCTCAGACAACTCCGGCTGTCTGAAAGAAACGGAAAACCAAAATACCTAGAAAAACACAAACAGTAAAACAAAATCTAAAACAAAACCAAAGGTGAGATGAGCTGCCTATAAAGGGTTTAGAGCAACTGGTCTCTCTGGAGAAGACTCTAACAACAGTTAGGCAACCTGTAGGCTGTAGTATGCTCCAGATTTAAGTGATCTGGCACCCATCCTTGGGTGGGCTCTGGTTGGTTATACAACTAACTTTGAATAATTTCTGCACCTATAACTAACGCCTCACTCATATATCTGTAAGAAATCCCAGTAATATTTATTAGTTCTCCAAGTTGGAGTTTAGTCTGTCTTGTTCTCCCTATATGCAATAAATAAGGGTGTGTGTGTGTGTGTGTGTGTGTGTGTGTGTGTGTGTGGTGTGATTTTTCCGTACATGAGACATTTGCATATAACAGCCAGTAAAGGAAACATTACTTAAGATGGGGTTTTAGATGATGAAGTTGTAAAGCACATTTTAATTCTCTCATCTGTACCTACTTCAAAAGTTATGTTTTATGTTTTTATTTATTAACTTGATTTTGAGTTTTTCAAACCTAGTAATACTAATTGAAATAATCTCTATTCATTCTTCTATTTCACTAGTTTACTTATGAATATAATCAATTTAATAACTACAACTGGGATGTATAACTTAATAGCTAAGAGAAACAGGCAGCCACATGAACAACCTGCCTCATATATTTCAAATTGAGAAATGAAAACACTGATTAATATGATAGCATTCAAATTCAATATTAATACAGGAATTCTACTATACTTAACTACAACCGGCTATGTACTAGTTTACAGTGATATTTGTAGGTAACATAAATCCAACTGTTCCATTTCTCTTTTCCTTATTTGAAATATACTTCTGCATGTGGATGGAATACGCTTAAAATTCCATTGCAGGGGCTGGAGAGATGGCTCAGTAGTTAAGAGCATTGCCTGCTCTTCCAAAGGTCCTGAGTTCAATTCCCGGCAACCACATGGTGGCTCGCAACCATCTGTAATGAGGTTTGGTGCCCTCTTCTGGCCTGAAGACATACACACAGACAGAATATTGTCATAATAAATAAATAAATAAATATTAAAAAAATTCCATTGCAAAGGACAAAGAATGAGGAAAGAAATGAAGAGAGTGGAAGGGAGGTTGTGGAGGTACCTGAGTACCAAATACATTCAGAAGTTGGGAATGACAGACAATGAATGGTGGGCTTTCCAGTATACATCCTTCCAGAATTCTTGACACTGACATGTACAATAATTCTTCCTTACACAAAACTTTAGGGTTCCAGATTGAGGCTGCCTACAGTAAATCAATTCTTCTTGATTATGTTGTAGGACTTAGACTCTTAGCTATGTATCTATTTTTCTTTCTTCCGCTTAACCTTAGTTTCTCTGTTCTACCTATTAGTCTTAAAAGGATGAACACAGGTGGAACCAAGTAAAGGATGTAAGAAAATGACTCCTAACACCAGGGTAGTCACAACAGCACCTTGTATGCTGGCTTCCCTTTTGGCATAGCCAGGCTTTTGCTTTAATACTTAGTGACTCATATCTATACACAGTGACTGCTCATTTATTTCCCGACTGTCTGGATGTAAATCATTACACAAAACTATATTAATTATAGCACTGTTTGGTCAATGGCTCAAACATATTCCTGGCTAACTTTTATATCTTAAATTAACCCATTTCTATTAGTCTGTATATCACCACGGGATTATGGTCTACCAGTAAATTTCCGAAGGGCATCTTTCTTCTTTGGCAGATACATGGCGTCTCTCTGACTCTGCCTTCTTTTCTCCTCTATCTCTGCTTGGAATTCCCACCTTGCTGTATTCTGCCCTGCCTTAGGCTCAAGCTGCTTTTTTATTCATTAACCAATAAAAGCAGCACATATACAGAAGGACTTTCTATACCACATATCCCTGAACTCTCTAGAGCAAAATTTAGAAACTGTCTGGATTTGTACAAGAATGTGTGTGTGTGTGTGTGTGTGTGTGTGTGTGCGTGCGTGTACGCCTTTGTGTGTGCCTTTGTGTGTCTGTTTCTATATTGTGGTCTGTAGACTATACTATATCTGACTCAAAAATTGATAATCTTTTAAATCAGCGTGAAACACAACTAAAGAAAAAATGCAAGCTATGAAAGAGAAATAGAGAATATCTTTTAAAGTTTAAATGATTTTATTAAAATTTATTATTATTCTAGACCACAATTTATGAAGGAAATATATTACAGATACTATCCATCCTGAAAAGTTGGTTAAGAAAAAAAGATGGTTAGAAAACCTGATGATGTGTAAAACCTAATTTTTCCACCTACCATTTATGACAAAGGGAGCAAGACAGAAAGACAATGTATAAAATGTACTCTAAGTCAAGAACATCGAGCTGAACTCCAACACTACAAATTAAAAGAGAATGTTAGATCCAGCCTTACCTCAGAGGGCCACGTGGTAGAAGTTAAGATGTGTACTCACATTGAGTACCTTAGGGATCTGTGACATTCTCTTTCTTTTGTAAAGAAACAAACCAGAATGTGTCACTTTAGATAAGAATA